ATTATCAGCTGTTATTTAGATACCTACATAATTGCTAGCTGTTAGTAACAACCCCGTCTGCATGAAATTATTTCTAATTGTTTACAAATAATCAATAGACAGTTAAAATGAAAACCATGATCATCCCTGATAACTTTTCACTTCCTCTCTGTAAAGTCTTACAGATATTAGACATATGAAGCCTAACAACAACATTTCGTTTTTGATATAAACTTTATCAGATTCTGGTGCAATAATGATGAATGTAAGACATGTATATATATAAGAATTAATCTTGAACATCAAAGATATGATAACATTCAGTTGCAATCTTATAAACAGCTATCTAACTTCCTTTCTGCATTTCTTGGATTCTAGCATTCTACTGTAGTGAAAAATAATTAGAAATAGAAGAATCAACTTTCTTTATCATAACAATTAATAATGTCGGTGTGTCAGCCCAATTGATTTCAAAAAACGCACAAAAGTTGTTTCAATTTCCATAAAACTTTCGCACGAGCGGTAAAATACCACCCCATTAGAACGACCTACGGTTTCCCTCAATGACGACCTACAACATTTATTTTTCTGCTGTTTCTCAATCACATTACATATAAAAATTTATGAATTCTTTTAATTGCATAAATGTAGTGCATTTATATGTTTGTTAAGTCTTCAAGCAACTTGTCTAATTGTGAAAGAAAAGTAAGACAACTTTTAGAGGTATGTGTGTGATACAAATGTACCTATCTATCACGCCAGTCTCGGTCTCATCGATCAACCTTACAGATAAAGGCATTAATAAACGAACCTGTCGGATATTTAATGGGAAACATCTCGCTGGTTACCTCTCACCGGCCAAACAAATTGTAACCTTAGCATTTTTAATAGACAATAGTCCTTAAAATACCTTACGCTAAGTGGTTCAAGCAAAAATTAATGTATGTATGTATGTATGAGTAGTAATATTATTGAGAAACGACATGTTTTGTCTTTCATATTACGATAATTACCAATAAAGGATAGAAAACGTAATGGTCCGCTGGGTAAGGAGCGACTGCAAATCGGTTTCGTTATTATCAATTATTTATTGAACACAATTAAATGTACACAAAATATCCTTACCCAAAGGTTTTATACAGTAGGGTCACCTGTCAGCCACGCTCTTACATCCCCCTGCCATCCACGCTTCACCCTGTGAAGCGTCCTCGTATATAACAGTGCCACGCACGTAAAATTGATTTATGACCGCCTGCAAAAACGGCGGATTTTTTAAGTTAGATCAAACGAGTGGCCCTACTGTATAGAACATCTTTATATAATACAGACTATCGCAATCTCTCAATAATTTCGCTCATTTACTCTAATTGATTAAATTAAATTAAAATACGCCTAATTTATATTAAATAATCTTTGCTTAAAATATCGGTATACTGAAAGATACTCACTCCCTCAATATGGCGTTGGTTCGTATCCATCAACTTGTCACAGTTGTTTTTACTACCAACAATGGTAGAATCACTAAAATACATGTGTCATTAGATATTTTTCTTTAATTTTGGATTGGAGTGAAAAATTAAGAATAGACAAATCTTCTAAAATCTAAAACTTTATAAACTCATTTGATCATTATCATTTATTAATTATTTGGCAATTCCCAAATTAATATTTGTATGGGCAATTTTCCGCGTGTGTATTTTTTGCAAAACTTTTACCAATTTCGAACTGAATTATTTAAAAATAAAACAAAGTTTCTGTCATGTCTAAAGTCTAAACTTTACATTTTTGTATGTGTTACAAATGATCTTGTTTACTAAAGCAAATTTTAACGACCTTGCAATATATACGCACGGATATTTTATTAGCGACAAATTATTGGCGACCGTTTCAAAATATTTGCAATCAATAAACTAAAGACGTTGAAAAAACCATAATATTTACATTGTCCGTAACGGGGGCCCGAAGACGCTTCTAAAATGCAACGTTTCTTTTTCAGCCAGAATGAGGTCTATTGAGCTGTCGGCTCCTTGGCAGGAAGAGGATGAAGACGTTGAAGTAGAAGACATGGACACAGGAAAATCGAATAGCAGGACGGAAGATCTAACAGAGTCCAGTAGTGACGAAGCTACGGGGAAGAAAATGGCAAGGAGGAGGATAGGGGGTAAGCCATCTTTTAGTCTACCTAAATCGTAAAATTATTGAAAGAATACGATAGTCTGTATCAGATGGGGGAACCTTCAGTGAAAACTAACCCTTGTGTTAATTAATATTTCGTGACAGTGGTTACGACAATTTGAAAATTAATATAATTAAGAAAATTGAATCAATAACATGCTGCCATCCGTTGAATGTAATATGAATTACAATACAGTGCTGCAGCTCTGGCCATCTTTCATAACCTCAAATACTCAACGTGCTGCCGTCTGTCGAACTTTACATGAATTACAATTCTGCAGTGCTGCTATCTGTTGGGTATACAGTGCAATCTTTGATAGACTCTCTCCATCTTTTAATTTTCTTACTGATTACGGAAAAAATAACCATCAGATTTTGAAGTAGTTTAGATAGTTCGAAAGTCTATATTCGGGGGATCGTTTCTAGGTATGCTTTATTAAAATCAGTCGGGTCTTAATCAAAATATTTTAGGATTTCTGCAAGATTTAACAGGCTCTAGTATAGGTCTCCGAAAGTGCAACAAAGAAATGTTGTAGGGTCCTGCATTAGCGGAAAACTATCGATAATAATTATCAAAACAAATCCTACATTTGGGATTAATTTTTTTTTTTCATAAATTCCAAAAATTTCCCCTCTATCTTTCTAGTCTATATTCGAGCTGTTTCCTGATCGAAGCAGTGAAACAAATTCTTTCAGTTTTTATTACAAAATCATGTACTTTCCATAATTTTTATAAAACTGGTTAAGTAATAACGTTTTTTTTTTCTACGTATTTGTTACACGAAACATATTATAAATACTTTCTACTTGGATTAACGGTATTAATTTAGTTTGCCTAATCTAATATGTATGTAGTAGTGGTGAGTGTTAAGTAGCATTTGACCGTTAAAAGAATGCGCTTAAAAAGGCTTTGAAAGAAGAATTGAAAGAATTGGAAACAGCGTAGTTGGAATACTAAACAGAATTGAACTGACGAACGATAAAAAAATAATCAGTGAATTAGTTCTAAACTATTAGCAAGCTATTTAATCACAAATAACGAAATAATTGGGGTATTTATCTATTTAAAAATAAATTACATTTGTAAAAGATATAAAAAAGCTTGTTAAAGGTGTATGCTTGTACGGGTGCGAAACATGGACAGTGGGCGCGGCGGAAAAGAAAAGGTTAGAAGCGTTCGAAATATGGTGTTATAGGCGGATGATGAGGATAACCTGGGTAGAAAAGGTTAAAAATGAAGAGGTTTTAGAAAGAATAGGAGAACAGAGGACTCTATGGAAGTCAATAAAAAATAGGCGAGATAGGTTGGTAGGACACCTTCTCAGGCATGAAGGTCTAGTCANTTATTTAAACTGCCTCGTTAAAATTTAAGAATATGCTTTATTTAAAAGCATATTTAGCCAAAAATAATAACAAGTGAATTAACTTAAAGTTCTACACACCTATAAAACTTTTGCTTTGTTTTCTATTGTTAATTTATATACATTTTTGTTTCATAAACATTTTCGTCCAGTACTGTACAGTTCTAGCCGATCTCCTAAGACCGCCCATCGAGAGCTCTGCTTGTTCCAACTATTTCTGTCTTGCTCACGCCTGGTGTGTATTCTTTCTATCTTCGCGCAATTTCTTCAAGGTCACAATTCTAACAAATTGAAATAGACTGTACATCGATCTAACATCGTGTACCTTTCTCTAAGTGAACTGACCATAACTCCGAATGAAGCATTACTATGTATTCAGTTAAATTCAACGTTTTTCTTTAACCTAAACCATTCATATTTTCAGGTTATTATAGGAAACATCCTTCTGTTTTTATGCCCTTAATAAAATAATATTATTTTTACTAGCTGAGCTTGTTCATATTCGTCAGATTTGCACTTTAAATATGGCAAAGCACTTCAAATAATGCGAGCATTTTCTGCCTTAAATTAATGTTACACATTAGTCATTAGTACATCGTACATGATAACGGTAGGCCTGGCAGCTTTGCGTCTCAGCATGAGTACCAAATATATTATAGATTAAATACAGAAATTTAAAAACTCACCCGACACGTAGAAATTCTCGACAAAACCCTTGATATCCAAAGTAGTCACATTTTGTAATAAGATGCTTCGCCTACAGAATTCCAGTACGTTGTATCATCAGAGGAGACAGCCACACCGATTACCGTTAGACACACGCCTATGCTGAACATTAGTTTCATTGTATCCATTTTAGTGGCTTGTGTTTTGTTGTTGATAAATCCTCGTATAATTAAGTCGATGGTATCACAATCACAGTAGCCTTTCTCCTTCTTGTTCTCGTCCCCTCCACGTGTTCTTGTAGACCGCTATTTTGTTGCTTTTACTAAAGACTTTAGAAAGGCGCAATGGTGAAATGTAGTCCTAATAATAACTTGTTCGCACCGAAATTGATACGATAAACTAACTCCAAAAGTTCTATCTATTATTATTATATTAAAGTTTCGTCGAGATACCGAAACACGTTGTTATATAGTAACTTTCGTATTTAACAGACAAGTGTAACATGCTTAACACGACGCTCGAGTTTTGATAACTTTAAGTGAATGGTTTTGTGACAGAAAAGTTGTAAAGTTTTCAAGTTGCAGTAAAGATACGACCTTCCAAAGGTGAGATAGATAGATAGATATAAACACATAGATATTATACACTGGTAGATACAATCATCAAAGAACAGCATCGTCTTTTGAAAATTTCTACAAATGCTTTCGGCCATCTTTTGATATAAATAATAAAATAACGTAAGTCCAATAGATAATATTTAAAACTTTTGAGGAATACTACCTTTTTCTTCAAAATTTGTAGTTTCTATGTTCGGTAAACTTTTTCCTTACCAGTATGTAACAGTTCCAGTTGAAATGAAATTATTACAGAATTATTTAACGGGTTTACCTTTGACGTAATGAATGCTTCAAAGAAGAAACTGAAAAGAAAAGACCACTAAAATAGATTCAGTTGTAAATAATTCTCTAGTCATAATTAGATACCCAATTCTTAATTACTGATTGTATAAATAATTGAATGTACTTACTGTAACAGATTTCTACCAATTTTGAAGTTATTTAATTATTTATATGAAAAGATGGTTAAAGGTATTTGTACCATTTTCCCTATACCAGGACGTGTTTTTCAAAAGATGATGCCTCCGATTGAGATTATATATATGTATACATAATAAATACTAATAAAAGTATTTTAATATTATTCGTTCTAAAAAAGACACTATTGGAAGCCATTTTAACAAAAAAAGAAAGTAACTAAATAGGTTCAAGTGCCTATCTATACGGAATAATTTCAGAAAGTCGTTAATCAATTTTAAAAATTCATTCACCTTTCTAAAACTTATAGATTCTGGATTAACTTAGACTGTATATTACTCTAATGAGTCAAAAATAAGAACGAGGTGAATGGTAAAAAGAAAAGCAACTGGTATGGTTGGTTTAAATTATATTACACTAGGTTTTACCCGCAGCTTCGTCCTAAATACGTGTCCAAAATCATCGACGACTACATAGAGCCATTTTTTTCTATCCCTCGGGAACAGTATTTGTTTCTGGATTAAATGTACCCAATGTCCTTTTCTGTGCCCCTGGCAATGTATGTACCTTTTCATGATAGGGTTTCCCCGCGGCTTCGCTCACATTTATGTCTTAAATATATGTCAAATCTTATCGACGACCATATCAAACTAATTCTTCTGTCCCTCAGGAACAGTATTTGTTTCTGGATAAAAAGTACCCCATGTCTCTTCCCTGTACCCCTGGCAATGTATGTACCAAATTTCATGATAGGTTTTACCCACGGCTTCGCTCTCGTTGATGTCCCAAATTCGTATCAAAAATCATCGACGACTACATAAAGCTAATTTTTTCTATCCCTCGGGAACAGTATTTGTTTCTGTATAAAAAGCACCCTACGTCTCTTTCTGTACCCCTGGCAATGTATGTACCTTTTCATGATAGGGTTTCCCCGCGGCTTCGCTCACATTTATATCTTAAATATATGTCAAATCTTATCGACGACCTTATCAAACTAATTCTTCTATCCCTCAGGAACAGTATTTGTTTCTGGATAAAAAGTACCCCATGTCTCTTCCCTGTACCCCTGGCAATGTATGTACCAAATTTCATGATAGGTTTTACCCACGGCTTCGCTCTCGTTGATGTCCCAAATTCGTATCAAAAATCATCGACGACTACATAAAGCTAATTTTTTCTATCCCTCGGGAACAGTATTTGTTTCTGTATAAAAAGCACCCTACGTCTCTTTCTGTACCCCTGGCAATGTATGTACCTTTTCATGATAGGGTTTCCCCGCGGCTTCGCTCACATTTATATCTTAAATATATGTCAAATCTTATCGACGACCTTATCAAACTAATTCTTCTATCCCTCAGGAACAGTATTTGTTTCTGGATAAAAAGTACCCCATGTCTCTTCCCTGTACCCCTGGCAATGTATGTACCAAATTTCATGATAGGTTTTACCCACGGCTTCGCTCTCGTTGATGTCCCAAATTCGTATCAAAAATCATCGACGACTACATAAAGCTAATTTTTTCTATCCCTCGGGAACAGTATTTGTTTCTGTATAAAAAGCACCCTACGTCTCTTTCTGTACCCCTGGCAATGTATGTACCTTTTCATGATAGGGTTTCCCCGCGGCTTCGCTCACATTTATATCTTAAATATATGTCAAATCTTATCGACGACCTTATCAAACTAATTCTTCTATCCCTCAGGAACAGTATTTGTTTCTGGATAAAAAGTACCCCATGTCTCTTCCCTGTACCCCTGGCAATGTATGTACCAAATTTCATGATAGGTTTTACCCACGGCTTCGCTCTCGTTGATGTCCCAAATTCGTATCAAAAATCATCGACGACTACATAAAGCTAATTTTTTCTATCCCTCGGGAACAGTATTTGTTTCTGTATAAAAAGCACCCTACGTCTCTTTCTGTAC